TCGGAACTGTCCACGCGAAATGTGAAGGACAACACAGAAACAGCCTTTTACAGCCTTGGTCGTGTAGACTAAAGGCTGTAGGTTTTAGATTGAGTGAACAGAAATATGTTTGGTAATGTTTCTAACATTTTTACATGTGTGAAACGCATATTACTTTTCTGTATAGCACAGTACACCCTGCTGAAAAAACACCCTGCTGAAAAACACAGAAACCTTTAAAAGTCTCTGGTCCTGGTGGTGTCCAGCAGTAGTCACTAACGTCAATGGTATTCTGTGTTTTTCCTGATGGGTTGATATCACAGTGTAAATGACTCTAATGGTTTAAGAGGTGTTCTGTCTCCAGATCTCCTAAAGGGATCTAAAGGTGCCCTACATGGAACTCGTGGTCTCTGGTAACCAGTAAGCCAATTAGAGAGCAAGACCATCAAGTTTTAATCCTAATGGGCAGTAATTGTGCCTTTAGTTTGCTAGCTAGCTAAGCCGCCAGTGTTTGCTAAAAGTCTACCTACAGTAGATTATGTCATTAGGTTAGTTGATTCAGCTCTTTGTTAACATGTAAACAGTTTAATCAAATAGAAATTTAGAAAAATTGGTGGAGTTACTCTTTAAGCCACACAGCCCATTGAGGTGAGCTGGGGCATATGAGAATACAGGAGGTATCTGATGGCGCTCGTATGGATCCACTGTGTCAATAGGGCTGATTTTGTCCATATAACTTCCCCTGGAGTTGTTTAGGATGCAGTCCCTTTACGTTTGAGCCACTTTAAAGCTCAGTAAAGCACATTGTGACATAATTTATCATGGTAATGATAAAATACATTCATATTCTACAAAATAGAAATTTAGACAAATTGGTGGAGTTACTCTTTAAACCACACAGCCCATTGAGGTGAGCTGGGGCATATGAGAATACAGGAGGTATCTGATGGCGTTCGTATGGATCCACTGTGTCAATAAGGCTGATTTTGTCCATATAACTTCCCCTGGAGTTGTTTAGGATGCAGTCCCTTTACGTTTGAGCCACTTTAAAGCATGACAAGTCTCCCCACCCATAAAACAGCAAGCTCTTCAAGCCCTACTGGATATGCACATCAGAGATAAGAGATGTGTCTAGCAGCAGGTTGTTCTAAGGGTGTTAGAAGATATACGTGATAAAGGGTTGTGCACGTCATGCACACACTCAGAGCAGTTTTATAATATTAAGTTAGGAAATAGACAAGTTCCAAAAGTTAGGCTGCTGCAGAAAAAAGATAAGCCTTCAACAGTGCTGTCCAATGAAGGCTCTTTGTTTGTATAACATAATCCCAAACCAAACATGACTGAGTTGGTGTGTAAAATTTGACTTGATGTGAATGATCATAAGCTTGCAGTAGAGTTAGTTCATTTTTGGTATATGTGTAGGTCGGGGTGGGCAATATGGTGAAAATGATCATATCACGATACTTGAATACATTTTCATGATACACCATACACATTACAATATTTGTTTATTTAAAAACTTTCGAACTGCTACAGTGATTTTTCTTCAGGGTTTTTCATACTGTGATATGGAAAGTCCAGTAATAAAGGGCTATTTATGCGCTCTTTGTAATGAATCCTACAGTTGTTTAGCGTTTATAAAGTAGTTTTGATATCCACAATTTGCTCAGTAAAGCACATTGTGACATAATTTATCATGGTAATGATAAAATACATTCATATTGCCCCTCTCTGTGTGTAGTTGCATGCACACCTTGTAATTTGGACCATTTTATTTTGTCATGAAATTTTTCCAAAATGGCCTGTCCATTACTGATCACAGTTTTATTCCAGATGTGACATGCCGTGTTGCAGTTTCAGTTCGAATTTAAATGCAGCGAACACTCTTCTCATGCTGCGCAGTTCATCTGAATCTGGGGAGGTGCGCTTTATTCATTTCCAGCAAGTGGACCTTGGATAGAAATAGTGAAGGACAATCTTGAAGGATCAGTGTTTAGCCTAGCAAAGATGCTGGCTTGCTTATCATGTAGTCTATGTTACTGCTCACACTGCTTGCGGCACCTTCTCCATTAAGGGGATTGTGAAATTCACAGTCCACTTAAAATTGAATCTTTATCGCTTGGGCATTTCCGTGATTTATTTTTTATGCTTGATCATGATTTATGTCTTTTCTTGTATTTGATAAGAAACTAACAGGTATAAAAGGTATAATACCTTATAACACCTTATAACATAAAGCACCACTTGATTTGCATTTTTCTTTTTGTTGTTCTTTTCCAAGAATGAATGAGTGGAAGACTCCTCCTGATGCAAGTGTCTGCTTTGAGACACAACAGAGAATTATGTCCAACACACACCAGGAGATGCCAACAAGAGAATCTGCCACACTGCTGAAGCCAGAAGAGTTTAAACATGAGAACATGGAATCCATAATGAGCTCCTGCCCTCAGGAAACATCCTCTGGTAATCTAAATGCTAACTCATCTCACACAAATGCAAAAAATAAAAGCAGCAAGCAAATACACCTCTGTTTAGAGTGTGGAAAGAGTTTTAATGCGCTCAGAGCAGCTTCTTAATTCCATTTTAGAAAATTGGCAAGCGACTGAGAAAGGTGTGCTTATCCCAGTGCTCTCCAGACATGGTCCTGGAGATTTACCTTCCTGCAGAGTTTAGTTCCAACCAGTATCCAGTAAACTGGCCCACCCCCTTACTGAACTCTAACACATCTGATCCAGCCAGTCATGGACTTGGGAAGTGGGATTAGCTGGAGCAGGTGTGGCAGATTAGATTGTGGATGGAGCTAGGTTCTGCAGGAAGGTAGATCTCCAGGACCAGGGTTAGAGATCACTGGCCTGTCCAATAAAGGCCCTTTGCTTATATAATGTTATGCAATAGGGCATGGTTTACTGAGGCTTCTTTGTCACATCATCGGAAAGGAGTTGGTGCGTAAAATTTGCCTGTTTATGGGAATGATAGTAAATTTGCAGTAGGGTTGCTTCATTTTTGGGACATGTGTTGCTTGAACACCTTGTAATTATGTCTTGTAATTTTGAATGCTTGTGTGAAACAGACATTTAATAGTGTCATGAATACTCTACATTTCCATATTTCTCTTACATAATCTGCTTTATCACTTACTGATGCTGGCAGTCTGTGATTCTTTTGTGCTAACTAGCCACGTCTCATAAGTGAAAACGTTGCAGGTTGTTTTTGTTTTTATTTGGTGTCCATCTGCTTAGGTGCTTAAGTGATTACATATAATGATTCTGTGACAGCTGCATTTTACCAATAGATGGTCTACACCAGAGGTTCCCAATCCCAGTTCTGGCAACCCAACACTATGCAATTTTTTGTGCTTTGTCTCATCGAGCACCCCTGATTCAACTTGTTAACTAATTTTTTGGGTTAGTTGTATAAAGTAGGTTAAACCACAAAAATGTTCATAGCATAGAGGTGCCAGGACAGGGCTTAGGAATTCCTGATCTACACTATTTCTATCTCAAGGATGCACAGCTCCGGTCCTGGAGGGCCGGTGTCCAGCACAGTTTGGTAGTTCCTCTACTCAAACACACCCACTAAACCTGACAATTAATGGATAAGTTGAATCATGTGTTATTGAGCAGGTAAATCACCAAACTGTGCTGTCCCTCCAGGACCAGAGTGGTGTGCCCCGTTGTAGTTCTACCTGTCCATTTTTGCACTCGATGAGTTACATCAGGGGTGTCCAGTCTTATCCAATAAGGGCTGCTCTGGGTGCAGGTTTTCATTCCAGACAAGAAGAGCACACCTGATTTCACTCGTTTAATCAGTCAGCCTCAGTCTTTAAACAACTGATCATGTGTGCTCCTGGTTTGTTGTAATGAAAACCTTCCCGTTGCGGATAAGATTGGACACCCCTGATTTACATACTTGACTAAACTGTTTTTTGTTGCAAGAATTTTGTTTTTATTGCAAGAATCCCCCACAACAGAGATGAGAATAACTGAATTATTAGTGCAGTTTACAAATTTATTTTAGTATAAATTTTTGTATTACAATAACTTTTAAGTATTACTTAAGTATATATTTAAACATTTATTCAAGTGTTTATGTTTGTGTTTTTGTATTTAGTAAACAACTTGTTTTTCCTCTCTAGAAATGAAAGAGTGCAGGACTTCTGATGCAAGGGTCTGTTCTCCTACACAGCATAAATTTATGTCCAGTGTGTGTCAAGAGATGTCAACGGGAGAATCTGTCACAGTACTGAAATCAGAAGAGATGAAACTTGAGAATATGGAGTCCCTAATCAGCTCTAGCACTCAGGAAACATCCTCTGGTACTCTCCACACTAAGTCATCTCACAGACAAATGCAGAAAAATTATAGCAGTGAAATAATACACCACTGCTCTGAGTTGGAAAGAGTTTTGATCAACTGAGTGGTCTCCAGCTACACCAGTGCATTCACACAGAAGAGAAACCCTATTGTTGTTCAAAATGTGGAGAGAGCTTTAGTAGACTGTCCAGTCTCCAAACCCACCGGCGCATTCACACAGGAGAGAAACCGTATCACTGCTCAGAGTGTGGGAAGAGTTTTACTCAACTTGGTACTCTCCAAACACACAGGCGCATCCACACCGGAGAGAAGCCCCATCACTGCTCAGAGTGTGGGAAGAGTTTTAGAAGCAGAAGTACTCTCATAAAACATCAGCGCACTCACACAGATGGCAAGGTGCGTCATCTCCAACTACCGCAGCACATTCGCACAGAAGAAAAAACATATTATAGTTCAGAGTGTGGAAAACGTTTAGCCAAAAAGAGTGCTCTCCAAAGACACCAGGACACTGACATAGAAGAAAAACAACGTTACTTCTCAGAGTGTGAAAAGAGTGTTGTCCTACCTTGTCATTCCCATGAAGGACTGAAACCGTATCATTGCTCAGACTGTGGAAAAAGTTTTACTCTAAAGAGTAGTGTCCGACATCATCAGCGCATTCAAGCAAGAGAGAAACCATATCGCTTGTCGGAATATAGAAAGGGTTTGATGGCACAGAGTCATTTCCAAACACATCCAAGCGCTTACACAGGACTGAAGCCGTATTGCTGCAGTGAGTGCGGGAAGAGTTTTGCTCTAAACACTAGTCTCCGCCGACACCAGCAAGTTCATGGGGCGGTGAAGCCGTATCGATGCTCAGAGTGTGGAGAAGGTTTCACACAACAGACTAACCTCAAAGCCCACCAGCGCATTCACACAGGAGAGAAACCGTACCACTGCTTAGTGTGTGGGAAGAGCTTCAGTAGACAGGATTGTCTCCGGAAACACCAGTGCGTTCACACAGGAGAGAAACCATATCACTGCTCAGAGTGCGGGAAGTGTTTTACTCAAGTGGGTTCTCTCCAAACACACCGGCTCATTCACACTGGAGAGAAACCGTATCCCTGCTCAGAGTGTGGAAAGAGTTTTAGAAAACAGAGTACTCTCCAAACCCACCAGCGCAGTCACATAGAACTGAAGCCTTATCATTGCTCACAATGTGGGAAAAGTTTTACTCTAAAAAATAGTCTCCACGTACACCAGCGCATTCACACAGGAGAGAAACCATTTTACTGCTTAGAGTGTGGGAAAAGTTTTAATCAGCTAGGTACTCTCCAAACGCATCGCCGCATTCACACAGGGCAGAAACCGTATTACTGTACATTGTGTGAGAAGAGTTTTAGTAGGGAGAGTACTCTCAAACGACACCAGCTTATTCATACTGGAGAGAAACCGTATCACTGCTCAGAGTGTGGAAAGAGTTTTACTCAGCGGACTAGTCTCCAAATTCACCAGCGCATTCACACAGGATTGAAGCCATATCACTGCACAGTATGTGGCAAGAGTTTTACCCTAAAGATTAATCTCCACAGACACCAGCACATTCACACAGGAGAGAAACCGTATCGCTGCTCAAAGTGTGAAAGGAGTTTCCAAAACAGAAATACTCTCATAAAACATCAGTGCTTTCACACAGGGGAAAAGCAGTATTGTTACCCGAAGTGTGGGAAGAGTTTTAATCGACTGTGTAATCTCCAGTTACACCAATGTGATCACACAGAAGAAACAACATATCACTGCTCAGAGGGTGGAGAGAGTTTTACTCAACAGACTAATCAAGAAACCCACCAGCGCATTCACACAGGTGAGAAACCGTACCACTGCTCAGTGTGTGGGAAGAACTTCAGCACACAGGATTGTCTCCGGAAACACCAGCGCATTCACACAGGAGAGAAACCGTACCACTGCTCAGAGTGTGGAAAGAGCTTTACTCAAGTGGGTTCTCTCCAAACACACCGGCGCATTCACACTGGAGAGAAACCGTATCTCTGCTCAGAGTGTGGAAAGAGTTTTAGAGAACCAAGTAATCTCCGAACACACCAGCGCAGTCACACAGGACTGAAGCCTTATCGTTGCTCAGAGTGTGGGAAGAGTTTTGCTTTAAAGAATAGTCTCCACGTACACCAGCGCATTCACACAGGAGAGAAACCCTTTCACTGCTCAGAGTGTGGGAAGAGTTTTAATCAACTAGGTACTCTCCAAACGCACCAGCGCATTCACACAGGCCAGAAACCGTATTACTGTACATTGTGTGAGAAGAGTTTTAGTACGGAGAGTACTCTCAAGCGACACCAGCGCATTCACACAGGAGAGAAACCGTATCACTGCTCAGAGTGTGGGAAGAGTTTTAATCAACGGACTAGTCTCCAGATTCACTGCGCATTCACACAGGATTGAAGCCATATCACTGCGCAGCATGTGGCAAGAGTTTTACTCTAAAGATTAATCTCCACAGACACCAGCACATTCACACAGGAGAGAAACTGAAAGAGTTTTAATCAACTGAGTGCTCTCTGAAGACACCAGCATGTATACACAGAAGAGAAACTGTTACTTCTCAGAACATGATAACACTGCATCTTGAGTATCAGAATTATATCGGGATAAGGCCAAGCCACATAAATATCCAAGTGTAACGCAATACAGTACAAATCAAACTGCTTTAGGAGGTGGACTGAGATGCATTTGAGCCACGTTATAGCAGTGTAATCGAATCCATCTCGTCAAGACATGTGACAACCGAAACGCATACCAGTACAACAGAAATTCCTCCCAGTAAAATCAAAACCCCTCTGAGTACAATCAAAACTTCTCCCCATGCAGTACATCACTGGCCCTCTGATCCGTTTTTTGTGAGGAAGATAATCATGGAGGACGTATATGGTTGAGGACTAGATGAAACAAAATGTTTAACAGCAATATGGACAGGCACTACTGTACTGTGTACAAACTGCAGACAAAAAGGCTCAACGGATAAACGGTTGGTAATTGGTTGACGTGTAATGAGCGGATTTGCAAATGGGGTCAAAGTGTTTTACTATATCCAGTCATTCCCAGGAAGGACTGAAGCTGTATTACTGCTTCGACAAGGCAAGAGTATCAGAAAACAGCGCATTCACACAGAAGAGAAATTGTACTGTTGTTCCAACAATGGAAAAAGTTTTATAGCAAAAATGCTTTGGAAACACTGGAACATCCATACAGGACCAAAGTTGTATCACTGCTCAGAGTGTGGATACAGTTTTGGTAGACAGAGTACTCTTCAAAGACACTTCTGTATTCACAGGAGAAAAGCTGTATCACTGCTCAGTGGCTGGGAAAGCTTCAGCAGGTGGAGTGTTTGACAGATAAAAAAAACTCATGATGTGTAGAATTTTGTGATTTAAATCATAAGTGTGAAAAAGAAGAAAAGTCAGACTTTTTTGTGTGATTTTTTTTATTTTTTTTTATACATATGTTTTTGTTATTAATCCAAAATACTTGCAACATTTTCTGTTTGAATTCTGTTGTCTTACTGAATACATTTATTAGTAAAAACCACATGGGCTTGTTTAGCTTTATAAAGTTCTATTGGACATTTTTTGTTGAAATTGTGTTGTGTGCATAGTCATTTAGAACTGTTGCTGTGGTGACATTTTCTGAAAACAAATATCATTGGGCCTCATTCACCAGCCGTTCTTAAGAAGAAATTTCTTATTAAAACCCACTTATGCAAACGAAGATTGTGACATTTAGTAATGTTCTCTTATTTGGGATTTGTTCTTGGGTAAGAACAGAATCTACACACACTCAAGAGCACAAAGGTGAGAACAGTTCTGCGCTTTAAGTACACGTCATGAATCTGACGTAGACTTTTTCTTAGGACTTTTCTCAAGAACACACTTCAGAACAAACTTTGATATTGAAAAATAAGGCCCACAAAGTGCAGTATTTTAAGAAAATATAAATCTACAAAAATTGAAAACTTTTTCTGAGCTCCTCTTTAAGAAATCCAAAGCGAATGGCATGACTGAGTCGCCCGTTAATATGAGAAGGTCCGTCCGCAGACGTTCACCACCAGCTTATAAAAGGCATCAATGCACGCTCTGCCACAACCTTGTTTTGTCGGATTAATGAGAAAAAACAGCGAACCACAAACTGTTGGGCTACATGAGTGTTACATGTTGGTGCCTGTGCATGTGTCTGTTTGTTTTCTCCCCCCTCTTGGCTGCTCTTCTCTTGCTCTATTGGCTGTCTCTTTTCTTCATAGGTTGCTTGGGGTGTCAGTCAGAGTCACCTCCTGGACTTCATTTGGCTAAACAGCTTGCAGAGTTGAGCCCAAGGAGGGGGAGCTTGCACTTAAAAAGCAGTGCACCAGAGTTTGTCATCAGCCCTGGGCATCATGTGACCTTTGTTTCAGCTCTTGGCTCATTTGTTTAGTTTCTGGCATTTTGTGGTCTTAGCTCTCTTAAGCTTGCTAGCTATAGCCGTTGCTTGCTTGCTAGCTTTAGCTCTTGCATGAGTTACACTGAATGGATTTAGCTATGTCAAACTGATAATAATGGAATCAAATAATATGGTAATTTACAAATTAAACCCTACTGCCACGATAAGACGTTGAGTTTATTCCCTGCTGCAAAAACAGAAACCATTGTGTTTCTGTTGGTTCTTCGGTTTTGTAATGTGTTTTGGCTTTTTTAATTGGTTGATATCACAGTGTAAAGGATCCTAAAGATTGATCATGAAACTCATGAAAAATGTATTGAATAGAATTCTGTAATTATGTCATGTTTGGTGAATGGGTTAAATCAGGAATGTTAAACTCAACCAGTAAAAGGGCCATATTTAAAAATCTCAACATATCTGTGGGCCAGAGAAAAAAATGTTTTTATGTACTGTGCTATAACCAGAACTGGCCATTGTTTATTCAAAATACAGAAAACTTCAACAGTGAAATACAAACACCTTGTAGTAGACCTTGAAATATTACATGGACACTTGAAATATCCAAAATTGAATTGTCCCCTGGTGCTCAGTCTATTAAACCTACCCATTTGCTTGAACTAGACACCTGGAATCCTTTCTTTGCTGCAAGTTCATTAAAACTTGGACTCAGTTTCTGAGCTGCTGAGCTGATGTGCTGATGTTAGGTGTTTATGTTGGTAAAACTGCAGGTGAAATGCATTTTGGTGATATGACTGGTGTGGAATTGTGTAGAATTGAGGTGTAACCACTGTCCTATAGATTGTTGTTGGGGTAGGAGAGTCAGAGCACAGATTATGTTGCAGTGCATGCTGGGGACTGTAGTGCACTGCACAGTCAAACAGACTAATATTAATAGAAAATTAAAATAGTTTTGCAGGCCGGATAGGATTGTGTGGGGGGCCTGATCTGGCCCATGGGCCTTGTGTTTGACACACGGTGGTTATTGAAATAGAAAAAGAAAACTATGATGATTCTGTTTTCAGATTCCTCTCGACTCACTGAGCAGAAGCAGCCAGATGTTAATGTGCTGTTGTGGCAGAGAGTGCATGTGCATGTGATGTCACTGAGGCTGAGAATCTGGTTGTATGTTTGCAGCCAGGGTCTATTGATTAATATTGAACAGAAACTCCTATCCATAGCCATTTATGACCATTTAGGCCATATTGCACCAGAGGGGCAACCCCACTGAAAACATGCTGAAAACATCTTGTTTCTTGTTTCACCACATAAAATACATAACATGAGCTCAATTGTCACTGTAATAGGTACACTTGCGTTGTATCCACACTCATTGTCCCCTTTATCAGCTCCACTGGCCATACAGTTTCACTTTGTAGTTCTACAGTTACAGACTGTAGTCCATCTGTTTACATTTATATTTACATTTACAGCATTTATCAGACACTCTTATCCAGAGCGACTTACAAAAAGGGCTTTGTCTATCCAGAGAAAGTATCTTTGCTAGTTACCAAAAGGTTAGGGAGAAAGCCAGTCCTGAGCTCAGATTCTGCTAGAATCAGAAAGTCATTATTGACACCTAGAGAAAAAGGAACAGAGTTGAACACAGAGCAGTGCAATACAATACTTTACAATCAATACTTAATTCAATGCTCATTGTTTCTCTGCATACTTTGTTACCCTGTTCTTCAGTGGTCAGGACCTCCATGGACCCTCACAGAGCAGGTACTATTTGGGTGGTGGATCATTCTCATCACTGCAGTAACACTGACGTGGTGGTCGTGTGTTACTGTGTGTTGCGCTGGTGCGAGTGGATCAGATACAGCAGTGCTGCTGGAGTTTTTATACACCACAGTGTCGCTGCTGGACTAAGAACCAATAATGTCCTACTGCACATTTGCAATTACAGACTGTCGTCCATCTGTTTCTCTGTATTAATTGGTAGCCTTTCTTCACACTATTCATAATGGTCAGGACCCCCACAGGACCAGTACAGAGCAGGTATTATTTGGGTGGTGGATGATTCTTAACACTTCAATAACACTGACATGGTGGTGACATATTAGTGTAGTCCATATTAGAACAGTCCATCAACCAAAAATATCCAGTCAACAGCGTCCTGTGACCACTGATGAAGGATGACCACCTACAGGATGACCAACACAAACTGTGCAGCAGCAGATGAGCTATCGTCTCTGATTTTACATCTACAAGGTGGACCGACAGGGTAGGAGTGATGTGTCCTGGTTTGATACGCTTGGAGGTTAAACTATCTAATGCATCCTGCTAAAAAAACATAGAAACCCATTAAAAGCTTCTGCTTGTTGCTGTAGTATCCAGTAGTCACTAATGGTATTCTGTAATTTCCTGATGGGTTGATATCACAGTGTGAAGAACACTAATAGTTTAACAGGTGTTCTCATTTAAGATGCATTTCCTACTGGGATCTAAAGGTGTCATACAGGAAGCCAGTGGTCTTGAATCGTAACCATTAAGAAAACAATTCCCATTAGAACGCAAAGCCATCGGGTTTTAATCCTAATGGTTCTAATGGTTTTCAGCAGGGATTTCTGTCAGACAAAATACAGGCAGAAGCTAGCATGAGCATTGGCATACTGGTCTGGACAGAAGGTGTCCTACAGGAAACTAGTGGTCTTCAATTGTAACCATTAAGAAAACAATTCCCATTAGAAAGCCATCATGTTTTCATCCTTCAGGAGGTACAAATCTCCATTAGTGACTATATCAGATGCCACCAGGAACCAGCAGAAACACGTAATGGTTTCTATGATTTTCTCAGCAGGGCTGTGATGACCATACAGTCCAGCAGGTGGCGCCAATTCTATAACTGAACACCAGAAAAGCGGAGAAGTAGAAGATCTGCTGATGGTCAGTGCTGGAAGGAGACGAAGAGGAGCTGCTCTGCTGGAAGTAAGGAGATCTTCCTCAGTCTTTGTTTACATTTCGCTCTTTACTGATCCTCAGAGAAATGTTGGAGAGATGTTCACTTCCGGAAAAGCAGCCACATATTAACACCAGACAGTCTTTGTGTTGGCACGAAGCTGAAGTCAAGATTCTTGTTCGAATTTTCCGTTCCACCTTAAATGGTGCAGCGGTTATTATTATAACTGTTAGAGTGTAGCCGCTATACACCATTTAAGGTGGAACGGGAATATTCGAACAAGAAGCTGGAGAATAGGAAGCCGACTTCAGCCTGGTTGTGTAGGCTAATGCTAGCTCTTTAGCCTGTTTCCTTGCAGTGTGAAGGTCTGTTTTGGTTAAACCGATCCTTTAAACGGTGTTTCAATATGAACTGATTCTTAATTTGTGCTAAAACGCCGCCGAGTTTTCAGATTAACCTGTCTAAGTTTGTCCCAAAGTCCTACCGTCCTTTATTCTGTGTGTTAACATTAATGTTAAAGTGGAATTCCACCTTTTTTTTTTTTTAAATTCCCCCTTAATTCAGTGTGTGAAATGTAAACAGTGATTCAGAGTGGTTTGGTGTGAAATGGTTCAGATGTCTTTACAGTGGTGGTGATAGGAACCAGGGGTCACCATGACTACAACACTAATATAGACATTTTATTTACTATCCAGAACCACCAGTGAACCCAATTTTTTTGTTTTGGTGCTTATTCCTAGTTAGTGCTATCAAATAACAGACTTAATATCTTACATTTAGGAGATATTCATTGTAACAAACGTGCGTTTTACAGTGAAATATTAGTGTGTTGCCAAAACCGAGCTTCTCAAAGTCATCCATCTTTGTTTAATGGCATACCTCTTTTTTTTAGCGACCAGTCAGAGGCTTTGTCGCGTAGCATCTTTGTCTGTGGAGTTCGCCCAGCTGTCATGTGCGCGAGATAGAGAACGAAGCCTCCACGTGACGTCTGCGGTTGTTTGTTTTCTCCACAATTACGTCTTTATATTGTTTGCTGAAGCCAGGCGAATGTCGTCTCCACAAGAAGTATGCTGAGGCCCTTAGGCTTTAACGCAAGAGTGCACAACTCTGGTCCTGGAGGGCTGGTATCTAGCACATTTTGGTGGTTCCCCTGCTCAAACACACCCATTAAACCTGGCAATTAACAGATGGACATCAGCCCTCCAGGACACCTGCTTTAAAGATTTGCGCTAGTAATGTAATGACGTCTATCGGACACTTCGTGTATGAGGGAATTTGATCTCTTCATCGCTCTTAACAATGTGTTTATCACGGAAACTCTTACACTGATAGCGATAAAAATATGCATCGTACGGCACTTGGTACAACCACCAATAATTCCGTGTACCACTTGACTTGCACTTCATACTGAGTTTTACATCTATTTCTCTTTCTGTTCTCCTCCAGAAATGAGTGAGTGCAAGACGTCTCCTGATGAGAGTATCTGCTCTCCTGCACAGCACATACTTACATCCAGCATGCACCAGGAGATGCAGACAAGTGAATCTTCCACGCTGCTGAAACCAGAAGAGATTAAACATGAGGACATGGAATCTGTAATAAGCTCTTGCACTCAGGACACATCCCCGTTTGAGGAACATGAAAGCGACGAGAGTATTCACCACTGCTCTGGGTGCGGAAAGAGTTTTGATGATCTGAGTAACATCCAGCTGCACCAGTGCATTCACACCGAAGAGAATCCGTATTACTACTTGGAGTATGGGAAGAGTTTCATCCTACACGGTCATTTCCAAACACAGCTGCCTGTTCACAGCGAAAGAAAACGACATCACTGCTTAGAGTGTGGGAAGAGTTTTAAAGAGCGAGGTCATCTCCAAACACACCAGCGGATTCACACGGGAGAGAAGCCGTATCAGTGTTCGGAGTGCGGGAAGAGTTTTAACCAACAGAGTAATCTCCAAGCGCATCAGCGCGTTCACACAGGAGAGAAACCGTATCACTGCTCGGTATGCGGAGAGAGTTTCAGTAGACGGTCCAACCTCCAAAGACACCTGCCCGTTCACACAGGAGAGAAGCCGTATCAGTGCTCAGACTGCGGGAGGAGCTTCAGAGAGCGAGGTCATCTCCAAACACACCAGCGCATTCACACCGGAGAGAAGCCGTATCACTGCTCGGAGTGCGGGAAGAACTTCAGCATACTGGGAAGTCTTCAAAGACATCAGCGCGTTCACACAGGAGAGAAACCGTATCAGTGCTCAGACTGCGGGAAGAGCTTTACTCTGCAGCACAGCCTCCACATACACCAGCGCATTCACACGGGAGATAAACCGTACTGCTGCTCAGAGTGCGGTGAGAGTTTCACCAGACAGTACAACCTTCAGAGACACCAGCACGTTCACACAGGAGAGAAACCGTATCACTGCTCAGAGTGTGCAAAGAGTTTTACTAGCTTGCAGAATCTCCAGCTACACCAGCGCGTTCACACTTGAGAAGATGCATTAACTCAGCTTGAGCAGTCGAAGTGCTTTGAAGACACTGATGTGCTGAGGAGGCAAAAACTCATGTTTACATTTGCTATTTAAATATTTCCAATCGAGGCAGTTGTTAACATTGTAAAAAGAGATCCTGACTTTCTCTTTCTTGTGTGATTTGTACAATACCGCTCACAAATTTGGGTTTGCTTGGATCATAATAATAATTGTTATTCAGTAATTATGTATAGTGTAGATAGAATTGCAATAAACTAGACACCAAAACTGAAACCAGTACTTTATTCACAGTTTACAGTATTTTGGGAACAACAGAGTTAGGACAAAAAAGGTGTTAGTAAATAATAAGCTATAATTTACTGTTTAATGGAGTTTGTTGTCACAAAAACACAACGAATAGCTGTTTAATTAGCAAGATTTGGTCATCGTTTTTCAAATATGAGGCTTTGTGGATGTCATTTTCTTTATAAGTTCATTTTCAATGCTGCACAGATTTCACAATTATCATGAAATCACTTACAGCTCCGTTTATCATCCAACATTTCTTCATTTTCACAGCTTCCTACAAACTGAGACTTAAAACTAAATTATTTCATTGTAGAATTATTTTATACACACATCTTTAGAAGAAATTGGTTTTATCTGAATGAAATGAGTGACCCCAAATTTTTGAGCAGTACTGTATACTCACTGTTTTCCATTGACTGCAGATTTTAGTTCTTATTTAATACGTTTTCTAGAGGAAATGAGCTGTAGACACCTGGTGGGTTTAGAATTACAACATGACATTTTTGTTAAAATGTAGTTATGTACATATTGTTAATGGGTTAGTACTGACTGTTGTTGCTGTGGTGAAAATTTCTGAAACAATCAAACGTTGTCATAAGGCTCCATGTGCAGTTTAGTCAGTGCGGCTGATGAATGTGGGTACGGCAATTTTTGATGTCCTCAAGTTCAGCAGTAAGTTGGTTAACTTGGTTATAAAGCTAGATTAAACTAGCTTTTAGACTTTTTTATTTAATAAATGAGGTGCTAATTACCGACAGTCTGTTGACACTTTGCGCTGGTGGCAGTGGCCAGTTTAGTGGGTCATCTGCTCTACTAAAACAAACACAGGCACAGGAACTTCACTTAGAAAAATGGGGTGTTTGGACTTACGAGCTGAAAATGTGATGGCATTAGATACATTAATCGTGGTATTTAAGTAACTTTTTACTTAAAATGGATAAAAATGATTGAAAGTGCATTTCAGTGAATGAAAATGGTTTATGTTGAGCCAAAGACAATCCCACTCCAACAAACTGAAATAAACACTGTAATATTGAGATTTTGTTCAATCAGCAGTTGAACTTTATGTTGAGATAACAGAGTCTGTGTGTACTGACTCTACTCTGTTTGACTGAATGGAAATGTGTGGCATAATTAACTTCAGTTAATACAAGAAGTTAAGCTAATTAACATATGGTTAGTGAAATATGACCTGCTTTTTGGCTCACATTTCTGCCTAGTACGCTAAAAGAGTAGGTTCTTCAAGGGTTCTTTTGTAAAGACAATGGCTCTATTTAAAACCATGAACACTCAAAAGAAAAATTTGCTTGATTAAAGGGTTCTTTGCATGGGGAAATGGTTCTTCAGATTGGTGGAGAATGTGTTGTATACGGTTCTATATAGAACCTGTTTGAAAAGGGTCCTTCTGTTACAAGCTTGACATCATACACAATAGCAGAACCCTTTTTTGGTGCTATATAGAACCATATACAACATATTCTCCATCAATCTGAAGAACCATTTCACCATGCAAAGAACACTTCAGGCTTGCAAATGGTTGTTTGACTGTTCATGGTTCTATATAGGTTCTATATAAAGAACTCTTGAGGAACCATCTTTTTTAAGAGTGTAGAAAGGGGATGAAAGATTTTTTGTTTGGTTGTTTTTTTGTTTTGTTTTGGGTTTTTTTTTGTTAGTTTTTTTCCTTTGTTGGCTCATTGACGTCATTTGACTTCATAAAACACATTATGCATATTTTGACATATCAGAAATTCGAGAACATAAGTACTTACTTTCTGTTCTGGAACATGTTCATTTTCAGCTGGTGGGATGTGCTTTCAACACATAATTGAAAACCTTGTCATATTGCAAAATCCCTGTTGAATTTCACTGAGCGCATCCTGCTTGTTTGGGAACGTTGTAATTTTGAAAGTTTGGCGTAACATCTGCAGTACATCAGAGGCAGAGAGATTCTGCTACAGCGTGAACTGAATGAAAGATTTTAATGTATGCTTTTAACAGAAGACTTTCAGTAAGTGCTTTTAACAGTCATTTGGGGAACAAAGTCGGTCAAATCATTGTATAGACTAAATCTGCTCTTAATGAACTTGGATAAGTTGTAAAAATATACAAATTGTATTAGGAAATAGTGGTTTAAAACATTGCTGTATTAAGATGATTTGGTTTTAGGTGCTGTATTTCCTTTTTCAACAATTAATAATGTGACATGGCGTGTTTTAGAAATGTTTTTTCCATTGAAAATAAAAAATGTGTCCAAAAACCTTGTATCTGTCTCTGAGCTTGAATAATGGCAGCCGTGTTAGTGATCCAGCCTCATTATCAGATGTCTTAATCAGATTTAAAGACCTTAATCTGATCTAAGAAATCAGTGTGCCATCTACATGAACACTTAATAATCAGATAACTGCAGAAATCAGGTGCTCACTCAGTTGGGTTTGCAGAATGGTAGAAATCAACTTGTTTTTGTTATGGTGAGAGAAGTTGAAGGTGCGTTGCAGACTGACAGTTCAGACTCAGTCTTCAGCCTGCGGTGGTGGTGTGAGGGAAGGCTGAGAACTTGGGCTGGAGTTCTGGGCGGCTTCTTCCTGGAGCTCGAAGGCCAGACCCCTTCTTATACCTGTGGCAGGACTGATGTAGGACTGAGGAACAGCAGGAGGTGATGGTGGGGGTGGTTTTGTTTGGTGGGGAACTATACCACAGGAAACTGAAGCCATGGAAATGTATAGGTTTTTACACTGGAAGGAGGAGGAGTTTCAGGCCTGCTGAACTCCCAAATGCAGGCTACTTTTCCAGTTAGAAGAAATTACTCTGCTGAGAAACACCAGTGACACCTTTAAGAGTGTCTGTTGGTTCCTGTTGGTGTTGAATGGTCTAATGGTGTTTAGTGTTTTCCTAATGGGATCTAAAGGTGTCATACAGGAAACTAGTGGTCTCTACCATTAAGCAAATTCCTATTGGAGAGCAAAACCATCAGGTTTCAATCCTAATGTTTTTATTGATCATCAGGTTTCAATCCTGATGTTTCTATTGATTGTCAGGTTTGAATCCTAATGGTCATCAGGTTTCAATCAATGGTTCTAATGGTCTTTTTTTCAGCAGAGTACTTAGCTAGCAGTGCTGATGTTAGCTGGCTCTTCAAAGTTTTTTTAGTAAAGTCATTGGTTCTATATAGAACTTTAAGGTTTATATAGAACCATTTAATGTTTAAATGGTTCTTTGCATGGTGAAATGGATCTTTAGATTGATGGAGAAGGTGTTGTATATGGCTCTATTATAGAACCTCTTTGAAAAGGGTTCTGTCTAGCACCAAAAAAGGTTCTTCTGTTACAAGCTTGACATCATAACAATAGCAGAACCATTTTAGTGCTAAATAGAATCATATACAACATATTCTCCATCAATCTGAAGAACCATTTTAACATGCAAGAAGCTTGCAAATGGTTATTTGACTGTTCATGGTTGTGTATAGATCCATTGTCTTTGCTAAAGAACCCTTGAAGAACCATCTTTTTTAAGAGTGTAAAAAGGGGGCAAAAGAATCTTTTTGAAAGTGGTTCTATATAGTACCTATTGTGACGATGTTGTAACAATAGAAGAACCCTTTTTGGTGCTATTTAGAACCATATACAACACATTCTCCATCAGTCTGAAGAACCGTTTTACCTCCAGCAGACCAGCAGGTGGCGCTAGTTCCATAACTGCGGTTCTCCAATACCAACAAAGCGGAGAAGCAGAAGATCTGGCCCATCACAGAAGCTGCTCTGTGGACAGTAAGGAGATGTTCGCACTTCTGGAACTGGTTTATGCTTCGTTTTCAGAGGTTTTTAAGAGACACAGTTGGAGAGATTTCCTTTTTAGAAAAGTAGATTGAAGTCAGATGACTGTTCGCCAGGTTCATGTTCGAATTCTCCGTTCCACCTTAAATGGTGCAGTAGTTACAGGCTAGCTCCCCAGGCGTCGTAATAATAACTGCTGCACCATTTAAGGTGGAACGGGAAAATTTGAGAAAGCTGACTCCAGCCTCGGAGACTGAAGCGTTCATGGTGCACACCTGGCTCAGTATGCTAATGCTATTGCTAGCCTGTGTTTTTGTTTGATAGAAATCCCTGCTGAAAAAAGACCAACAGAACCATTAGGATTAAAACCTGATGGTTTTGCTTTCTAATGAGAATCGGCTTGATGCTCAGCATTAGAGACAACTAGTTTCCTGTAGGACACCTTTAGATCCCTTTAGGAAACCATGAAATACATCTGAAATCAGAACACCCGTTAAACCATTAAGAGTCCTTCACACTGTGATATCAACCCATCAGGAAAACACAGAATGCCATTAGTGACTGCTGGACACCACCAGGAACTTTTTAATGGTTTCTATAATTTATTTTCAGCGGGGAAGTTTGTTTTGAAAAACAAAAACAAGCATATATGCATGAAAGTGATGCACTTTTTATGGTTTAAACAATAGATCCATGTTTATTGCGGGAATCATACAGTAAACACTTCAATAACTTTTGTTTTGGGACAATTTTTATTTTTGTTTTTTTACAGTAAGGAATTTCATGTCTTATATGTATATATGCCAAACCAAACAGATCTCATGAACCAACATGAAGACACAGTGTGTTTACATGTACTTAATAATCTCAAAACTGCAGAAACCAAGATTGTGTCAGTAACTGGTTTAGTGTGTTTACACTTAATAATCTGATAACTGCAGAAAACCAGACTGTGTCAGTAACTGGTTCAGTGTGGTTACACTTAATAATCTGATAACTGCAGAAAACCAGATTGTGTCAGTAACTGGTTCAGTGTGGTTACACTTAATAATCTGATAACTGCAGAAAACCAAATTGTGTCAGTAACTGGTTCAGTGCGTTTACACTTAATAATCTGATAACTGCAGAAAACCAGACTGTGTCAGTAACTGGTTCAGTGTGGTTACACTTAATAATCTGATAACTGCAGAAAACCAGATTGTGTCAGTAACTGGTTCAGTGTGGTTACAGTTAATAATCTGATAACTGCAAAAAAAAACTTGTGTCAGTAACTGGTTCAGTGCGTTTACATGTACTTAATAATCTGATAACTGCAGAAAACCAGATTGTGTCAGTAACTGGTTCAGTGTGGTTACAGTTAATAATCTGATAACTGCAAAAAAAAACTTGTGTCAGTAACTGGTTCAGTGCGTTTACATGTACTTAATAATCTGATAACTGCAGAAAACCAGATTGTGTCAGTAACTGGTTCAGTGTGTTTACATTTAATAATCTGAGAACTGCAGAAAACCAGATTGTGTCAGTAACTGGTTCAGTGTGGTTACAGTTAATAATCTGATAACTGCAAAAAAAAACTTGTGTCAGTAACTGGTTCAGTGCGTTTACATGTACTTAATAATCTGATAACTGCAGAAAACCAGATTGTGTCAGTAACTGGTTCAGTGTGGTTACAGTTAATAATCTGATAACTGCAAAAAAAAACTTGTGTCAGTAACTGGTTCAGTGCGTTTACATGTATTTAATAATCTGATAACTGCAGAAAACCAGATTGTGTCAGTAACTGGTTCAGTGTGTTTACATTTAATAATCTGAGAACTGCAGAAAATCAGACTGTGTCAATAACTGGTTCAGTGTGTTTACCCTTAATGATCTGATAACTGCAGAAAATCAGATTGTGTTTGTAACTGGTTCTGTGTGTTTACATGTACTTAATCTGATAACTGCAGAAAATCAGATTGTGTCAGTAATTGGTTCAGTGTGTTTACACTTAATGATCTGACAACTGCAGAAAATCAGGTTGTTTCAATAACTGGTTCAGTGTGTTTACCCTTAATGATCTGATAACTGCAGAAAATCAGATCAGTGTGTTTTCATGCTCTTAAATAATCAGATAATAGGGAAACTTGAGGTCTACATGAGTCAGGCAGCAATCGTATTTCTGGTTTACACCTGGCCAGTAAACCCTCAGAATAAGATGTGACGTAAATGTAATGTAAAACATCGAGTGACTTTAGTTGAAAATATGAACACACATCATCTAGAAGATGAAGAATATTTAAATCCTTCATTTGGTCGGGCATGTAGTCGGTTTCAGCGTCACTCCAAAAGTGCTGTTCTGCGTCTCACAGGTGCTGTGTTACATGCTGCTCACTGTTTTTGGGACAGCACTCTGTTTTCACACATGCTCAGACTGAGAGAAACAAAATCAATCAGAGTGAGAGTTAACATGCACTGAAAAACCTCATTGCTGAGCTGAAATCCAGCCTCTTTATCAGATGTCTTAATCAGATTTATAGACCTTAATCTGATCCAAGAAATCAGTGTGCTGTTTACACGACCACTTAATAATCAGATAACTGCAGAAATCAGATATGCCCACCTCTAATGCAGAAACGGCAACCTCTTCATCCCTTTTCATGCCTTTCAGCTCTCAAAGCTGATGTCAATTTCTTATTCTCCAGCTTTTTGCTCGGATTTTCCTGTTCCACTGCTGCACCATTTAAGATGGCACGGGAAAATGTGAATAGGAAGCCAACTTCAGCCTCTTCAGCTCTCAGAGGTCTCTCCACCGCTGAAACGCCTCACTGATGTTAACATGGCTCTCTGCCCTTGCCTGATCTAAGAACAACTTTCTCCATCTTTGTTCTTCAGATGTTCTCATTGATGGCTGTTTCTCAGCCATCTCTCCTTTTTGACGATATATGGAGTTCAGCACATAGCCCCTCCCCTTCCCCCCTCTCCTGTGCATGAGTAGGAACTTCCCCTGTTACTGACTGGCTGGAAAAGTGTTGTGTCCTTTGGCCTGAGAAACTTAGTTTATTTCCCATTTATTTCCCATTTTTACAGAGCCAGGGATTTATGATTTAGCAATATAATGTAATTAAATTTTTATACTCCCATCTTCTTATACTGGATAACTAAGCATTGTGGAAGGCTTTTTTGTCTGAGAAGTGTGGTACATGGGTTGATGATGGCTGCAATACTCTGACTTGTTAATGAAGGCCAGTTGCTTTTTTGAGCAGTCTTTCAGCTGAAATGTTTGATTTTTTGATTTTGATTATCAAAGTTTTTGTCTGAAACTAATATTGACTATGTAAAATACCTAAGAATTTTGTCAGACATTTATCATATTTGACATTGAGTTTTGAGTATTGTCTTTGTTTTTCTTTTATCTTCCAGAAATGAATGATTTATTGGTGCAAGTCTTCTCCTGTTTCAGGTACCCTCTTGCCAGCATATTTTAATTTTACGTCCACAAACCCCAAGTGGAAGATGGCATCCAGAGGTGCTCAGCAACCATCCTGTGGTCCTCCCGACTCTAACACATCTTGCAGACGAGGGCGTAAAAAAGAGGACAAGGAGAAAATTCACATCTGTTCAGAGTGCGGAAAGAGTTTTAATCGACAGAGTAACCTCAAAGCCCACCAGCGCATTCACACAGGAGAGAAGCCGTATCATTGCTCAGAGTGCGGGAAGAGCTTTTATCAACTGATTAATCTCCAAACACACCAACGTATTCACACAGGAGAGAAACCGTTTTGTTGCTCAGAGTGCGGGAAGAGTTTTAATCAACAGAATAATCTTCAGTTCCACCAGCGCATTCACACAGGAGAGAAACCGTATCACTGCTCAGAGTGTGGGAAGAGTTTTACTCAACAGAGTCATCTCCAGCTACACCAGCATATCCACACAGGAGCAAAGCCACATTGCTGCTCGTACTGTAACAGAAGTTTTAGAGACAAAGGAACTCTCAAAAAACACCAGCGCCTTCACACAGGAGAGAAACCGTATCAGTGTTCAGATTGTGGGAAACATTTTACTCTACAAAGTAGTCTCCAATCACATCAGCGCATTCACACAGGAGATAAGCCATATTACTGCTCAGAGTGTCGGACTTGCTTCAGACATTTGAGAACTTTGAAAACCCACAAGTGTACTAAGATTGAGGAAGAAACACATGATCCAATTTTGTTAAATTAGAACTGTTTTTATTTTGTTTTTGGTTAACATGTATTTTGTAACTGGTATCTTTGTTTTTGCACTGGGAATGAGGATAAGGTCAAGGCTGTAAGAATCATGTAGTGGTGGTAGTATATGTCAGTGTTTCTCAGCCCTGGTCCTGGAGGCCCACTGGTCTGCGCCTGTTCAGACTGCAGGCAAATTGAGTTTGTTTCCCAAATCAGGTCTTTTAAGACGATTGCCTGCACTGTTATTTGCAAGTGATCAGAAGTGCGTGTCCAGACATCACCAGTCTATCTTCGAGGAATTCTTCAGCATTCTCTGGCATGAGCATGAATCTTTGGTGCTGTTCTTGAATCCCAGCACTTCCGTCACTCTTGATTTAACATGGTCATTTTTTTGTTGTGAGTGACAGAAGACACTTTGAAATCCAATTTGAGTGGCCAAAGAGCCACCATTTCTCATGTGGCTGTCTAGACTATCAAAATCAAATCTGGGTGCAATCTGGATAGGTCAAGAATTGGATTTGGGCTGGCAGTCTGAACAAGGCCTTTGTGTTTTCCCTGACCCAACTAATCAGACTATTATCAGCCACTTACTGAGTTGAAGTGGGTGTGTTAAAGCAAGGAATATACAAAAATGTGCAGGGCTGTGGGCCACCAGGACCAGGGTTGAGAAACACTGCTATATGTGCATGCATGCCCAAAAATACACATGCAAAATAGCTACCTTCTTCTTAAATTCAGGTGTGACTTGACATTATTTCTTTGGACTTAGGCTATATAGTCTTTTGGCATGTTAACTCTAGAGTATTCAGTTGTAAGGGTAGCTGAGGTACCTTGTTAAAATTCTTAGTGACTGTTGGAGAAATGCACTCAACAATTCATAAAGAGGAACACAAAAATATCCCAGTATGCATTTGAAAGCTGTATGCTCAACTTTGTAGTCTCTTGAAAGTGCAACAGTGCTAAAAAGGAGCTTGTGTCCTTTTCAGCACTATAAGAATATGATTAGCTATGTCTTGCATGTTAGCTGAGCTATAGTTTGCAGAACATGCACGAGTGGTCTCCAGCCCTCCTCCATGAGATCTACGTTCCTGCAGAGTTTTGTTCCAACCTGCACCTAACATGTTACCCCTCCTTTTAAAATGCTGCCTACTTCTTGCCAAACACTAATGCATCTAATCCAGCCAATCAAGGACTTCTGAAGAAGTTAATTAGCTGGTGTGACAGATTGTGGTTGGAGCTAGATTGAACAGGAAAGTATATCTCCAGGACCAGGGTTTGTTACCAAATGCAGTGCCGTAGTATAAAACAAAGTTTTTTATTAGCCTGCTGATTAATGTACTGTAAAACATTTTAGACGTCATGTTTCCAGATATAAAATGAGAACCAAAAGTGCATTTCTACAAGTGTTTAAAACTTGTAAAAAAACATTTTAAACATTTTAAATGCTTTCAAAAATTTGTGGGGACATCGCTAGTGTAAATAACGCCTATGAAAGAGCTCTTAATAAAGGCAGCTGTTAATACCGCAGAAAAAGAGATCTTTCTTATGTTTTTCTCTTTAATCGTGTGATTATTATACTATTGTGTAATTGACATGCCTTATTGTCTTCGTTTTTGTCTTGGATCTGAATCTTAACCTCTATTTGATACGCATTTGCCAAAACAAACACGCTATAGACACCTGTTAACTGTTAATCAGCCAAATGTATAGTAATGCTTCACAAAAGCTTGTGTCCCTGTGGCCTCTTCATATAAAGGTGCAAAAAATCTGCCCTTTTCTGAGCAGGTGTACAGTTTGTGTGGGCGGGCAGGGTCAGATATCTGCTTTGCAGCTCAAATGGAACAGCAAGGCTGTGTTCAGACTGCAGGCAAATTGGATTTATTTCTCAAATCAGATCTTTTAAGGTGACTGTCTGCACTGTTATATGCAAGTGACCAGATCGAATTTGGGTGTCCAGACATCACCAGTCGCCATAGTAACAATGTAGGCATCAGTAACTACGTAGCTACGCTGGTAACATGGATTTCAAACACGGATGCAGAAGAGATGGAGGAGCATCATCTCGCCCTCCAAACTCTACAGAGTTCTCTTCATAATCATGAATCTTTGGTTGTCTTCTTGAAGCCCAGCACTTCCGTCACTTTGGAAGTGACATTGACGTTGTTTGTCGCGTTTCAAATGATGCAAAAAAAGACACTTTGAAATTCTTTGCTCACAACCGCTTCAGCAGAGGTTTGGAAGCAGCTTCTCTCATCTCTGGTACTGGAGAGGAATAACTAGTAACGTTTGAGTTATTTGAACACAGCTTGAGAGTTTTCGGTTCTTTAGGATAGATGGCAGTAAAGACGAGCAGGTCAAACTGCTCAAACTCTTTTTTGCTATTTTCCCTTTTGTGACACTTATCCCTTTGGCTGTCTTTCTTTGAATCATCAGTTATAGAAATGATCATAAAACATTTTTTTAATAAATCTAATATGGACAATTTGGTTTTGGGGGTTTAATTTTGTTCTCTAATGATTAATCTTAATATTTAAGTATTTTACACTGTCTTAAATTGCAAGTGATATCTTGGGAGGGTGTTTTTTAAGCTTGTGACAGAATACAAATGATATATTAAAGTAGCCAACCCCAGTTCTGGAGAGCTATCTGCCTGCACAGTCTAGATCCAACCTGTATCTAATAAGCTGCCTGCCCCCTTACTGAACTCTAATACATCTGATCCAGCCAATCAGAGACTTGGGACAAGGTTGATTAGCTAGAACAGGTGTGGCAGATTGTGTTTGGAACTAGGCTTTGCAGGAAGGTAGATCTCCAGGACCAGGAGACCAAATAAACTATAAATTACCCACTGAACCAATGGAATCACACTCTTTGAAAATGTACATAATATTAGACAGTGGACAGTGTGATGATAGTGTATCATTGTTGTGATAAATTTTGTATTAATATGCTTTTGTGAGCATATCATGAATATTGGTAGCTAACTCAACATGTCCATGCACAGCAAACAAAGCTAGCTTGAATGTGTGCTGCTTTTTGTTCCATTAATCAGTTTTAAGTTTCAAAAGACTCTATTGTCTCTGAGATGGTGACTATCCAGATAGCATGCAGATGTGGGCCACTTCTGGCAAAGATACTGACCCATGGTTGACACTGAGATATGTGGGCCAAAAAGGTTCGAACTGACTGACTAAACAGTGTAGTGTAGTGATTTTGTTGGTTTAAATCAATTTAATTACTTGAACTGAAAAAAATATTGCCAATATTTGTTTATATTTTATATAACACATCGTCGCTGTTCATTCAGAGTCTTGAATTCTTTTCATTCAGAAACGGACGATGCGATGACCTGGTGCAAGACTTCTCTTTATGAAAGTGTCCAAATGTCTGTCTTCCAAAGCAGCTTACGTTTATCTCCAGAACACCTGAGGAGATATCAAAAAAAGGAATGTGCCACACTGCTGAAATCAGTCATAGGGGCAAGAAATTGGACAAGACGTATCCTGTAACAAGAGGAAGTAAGATCCAGAGGTTTACTGCAGTTCATTTTCAAAATATTATATAAAACATCCCCAAAAAAGATTTTCAGCTTGACAAATTCTCACCAAAACTCATCAGCACTACATAATAAAGTTAAAAATCCTTTACTATGTTATTTATTACATTATCTAGAAAACTTGCCAGATTCATGAGCCTCAGTTTAGGCCCAAGACGACCTTTCTATCTTGATTAATTTTATTCTAGTCTTGATTATAAGTTATTTTTTCTATGGCCTAAAGTCTTTCTGTGGCCTCAAGTTGGGTGATGAAGACTGTAGCCTTTCAAATGCACTTGCACTAGGAAGCCCTTCCCCGATTGGACGTTCGCGTCACTGTAGCAACCACAGAACTCGGTATAACTTTGGCAACGAAAATATTTTTTGTCTCCTGCGCTGCGATTGGGTAGTAGTATCACGAGCTGTCCGCCGATTGGGCGTTCGCGTCACCGTAGCAACCAGCAGTGTGCTGACTGTGTTATACATAACTATCATTTATTTGTGTATTTAGTTTTTTTATTCTATTCACCCAAGTTTGTTTTCATTTTTCTTTGTTTCTTGTGTGTGGATATATTTATGCATTGCCTTTTAACTGGAAAAGGTCTAAAATAAATGTTTATTTCTTTGCACATGTAATTTAATCTGTGCCCTTGTTTATGACTGTTTAAATTAATTTTAACAAAAAAATATATAAATTGGTTGCGACCGACGTCATAATTTCAGTCTGTTTGAACGATAGAGCTGCGTATCTCTGAAACAAGCGAAAAATAAAACGCTTTTCCAGTTAGTTTGTTTTGAATCGGTGTAAAACCTCCTGTTTCCAACTGCTGTCCCGCTTCTGTTCAGCTCGCACTGAGTTCGGCCGTTGCCATGGTGACGTAGACCGTCCACTCGGCTGGCCAATCAAGAGCACTGCTTACATGAAATATCAGCCAATCGTAGCAAAGTGATGGGGCTTGTCGGAATACGGGTGGAAAAACAATACGGCCTCGACGGTCCAGGAGGCGGCGCTAATTCTGTGACTGTGGTTCTACAGCCCACTTAGAGCGGAGAAGCAGAAGGTCTGGTCAGCAGTCCCGAGTCCAGCCTGTTAGAGGGAGAAGGTCAGGAGCTGCCCTGCTGAACGTAGGGGTCCCTACTCTGTTTTTCCATTGACCAGTGGAGGAATGATAGGAGAGTCTGAGTTCAGAAAAGCAGGATGTGTAACTTGTGTCAACACAGGAACAGCCTTCCTTCAGACCTGCCTGGAGAGGCTAATGCTAGCATGTGTTTGTGTTATTATTTGACAGAAATGTCTTCATACAATGCCTTGTTTTTTATATATGTCTTCTTGAAATAGAAGGTTCTTCAAGAGTTCTTTAGTAGAGGAAATGTTGTATTTAGAACCATGAGTTCTGTGTAAAAGTATTTCATGCTTACATGGTTTTCTGCTTGGTGAAATGTTTCTGCAGGTTGATGGAGAATGTGTTGTATGTGGTTCTACATGGAACCTTTTGGGGGGAAAAAAGGTAACTATTATTACAATGCCAAGCTTGTAACAATAGCAGAACCCTTTTTGATACTGTACAGAACCACGTTCAACACATTCTCGATCAGTTTGAAGAACCATTTCACCATGCAGAGAACTATTTAACCATGAAATGCTTCTATATAGACATCATGGTTCTAAACAGAACATTTCCTTTACTAAAGAATCATTAAAGAGCCACCTTTTATAAGAGTGTGGTTGGGTTATCAAAACTATATCCGGTGATGGATTAAGTTAAAAGTTTTATGAGCAATTTAAAGCAGTTTTGCTCTTGGGCAAAATTTTGCAAGTTTGCAGGTTTGCTGGAATAGATCAGAGGAGCTTTGTCAAGTATGTTCATAGTAACGCTGTGTGCAAGTGCAGTTTATGTGTTGACAGTAAACAGCATTGTACGCAGAAGCAAAATAGAGGCTTCCCATGCTACACTATGAAACATGAAGTTTTGTGACTTAACAGCAAATTAGTTTGGCTTATCTTGCCAGTACTGAGGCCATATTCACACTGCCGGCCCAAATCTGATTGTTGGCATATCCAGAATATACCCAGCTTGATTTTTTTCATAGTTTAGACAGATTTTTGCAAAATGGATCTAAACCACATTTGGAGGTGGTTTTTAAAGCGATTGTAATTGGATTTTTTCAGATGCGTCTAAGTCTGGACACTCTAGCTGTTCTAATCTGATTTCAAACTGACTTTGCAACGTGACAAAGATGATGTAAAATCAGGGGTGACAAAGTGCTGGGATTAAAGAGGAGCTCCAAAGATTCATGATTATGAAGAGAATTCTGAAGAGTTTGGAGGACGAGATGATGCTCCTCCATCTCTCCTGCATCCCCGTTTGAAATCCACATCACCAGCGTATCTACGTAGTTACTGACGCCTATGTCGTTACCACGTCTGAACACACAAATCTGATCTGATCACTTGCAAAAAAACTGCAGTCCGAACACAGCCTCAAAATAGTTTCAGCCTTGCTCTTCCATGTGCACTGCAAAGCAGATCTCCCACGCACGTAGGCTGGTGATGTCTGGACACACATATCTGATCTGATCACTTGCAATAAAGTATTAATAAAATTTAAATAAAGTTTACATCAATAAAGTATCTATCTATCTATCTATCTATATATATAGTATCTCAGATCTAGCAATTCTGCTGGCAGCTTACTGTATTACTAGTTTACTAATTTGGCTTGATTAACAAACAAATTCCAAAGGCTACATTTAGCTAACACGTCTCCATTATTTCTGATTTTCATTTTTCTACATCATTAGAGCGCACTAGCTGCCTTTTACGCTTATGATGAATAGAACAACAGAAACGCTCCAAATTTGCTTGAAAAAAAATTTAAAGTTTTTGCCTTGTAATTTGCCATTTTAGAGGTGCTTGTTTTATTTTGGGCAGCGATAAAATTTGACTAAACTGTGTGGTGTAACATCCCCCCAGTTGTAATGAGAAATCACAATTTATATTCACAGTTGTAGTTTTGTTAATTTTGCTTATGTAGTCATGATTACATATGTATTTGTAATTTAATATTGCCTGTGTTGGATACAATTCCCAACAGTTTTCATGCTTCTTTTTGCATTTTATGGTATGTTTGGAAACAATATGTATTTTCTTTTTCTCTTTCAGAAATGAATACTGTCTTGCAAGTCTTCTTCTGTTAGTGTCCACTTTTTATCCAGTTTAAGTTTACTTCCACAAACACTGAGGAGATAATTAAAGATCAGGAATGATTAAATATGAGAATATGGAATCTTGCAGAATCTCCCATCCACAACACACGAACGCATCTTGCATGCCAATGCAGAAAAACACAGAGAAGGAGAAAACTCACGGCTGCTTAGAGTGCGGGAAGACTTTTACAACACAGAGTCATCTCAAAGTACACCAGCGCGTTCACACGGGAGAGAAACCGTATCATTGCCCCGAGTGTGGGAAGAGGTTTATCACGCAGAGTAACCTCCATGAACACCAGCGCATTCACACGGGAGAGAGGCCGTATCGCTGCTCAGAGTGCGGGAAGAGTTTTAATCAACAGAGTAATCTCAAAGTACACCAGCGCATTCACACGGGGGTGAAACCGTATCACTGCTCCGAGTGCGGACAGAGTTTCAATCAACAAATTCATCTTCATACACACCAGCGCATCCACACAGGAGAGAAGCCGTATCACTGCTCAGAGTGTGGGAAGGGCTTCAATCAGAAGAGTAATCTCCAGCTGCACCAGCGCATTCACACAGGAGAGAAGCCGTATAACTGCTCAGACTGCGGAAAGACTTTCACTCAACAGATTCATCTCCAACTACACCAGCATGCTCACACAAGAGAGAAGCCACATCACTGTTCATACTGTGGAAAGAGTTTCAGAGACAGACGCCAGCTGCTCACACACCAGCACATTCACACCGGAGAGAAGCCGTTTTGCTGCTCAGAGTGTGGGAAGAGTTTTACTCAACAGAGACTCCTCCAGCTACACCAGCGCATCCACACAGGAGAGAAACCCTATCCCTGCTCCGAGTGCGGGACGAGCTTTAAACAAAAAGTTCATTTACTAACACACCAGCGCCTCCACACAGGAGAGAAGCCGTACCACTGCTCGCAGTGTGGAAAGAGCTTTAATCGGCGGAGTACACTGACGCTACACCAGCGCCTTCACACCGGAGAGAAGCCGTATCTCTGCACAGACTGTGGGAAGAGTTTTACTATGCAGAGTAACCTCCTAACACACCGCCGCCTTCACACGGGAGAGATGCCGTATTACTGCTCAGAGTGTGGGAAAAACTTCAGGCATTTGAACACTTTAAAAGTGCACAAGTGCATCAAGAGGGAGCCAGAGACTTGTGACATTTGAGACAAAAGTTTGTTAAACGTTTATTTTCTTAAAGGTTAACACAAATTATGTAACCCTTTCTTTGATTTATATAGGTTCTAAGCAAGTTTATTAATACTGAAAAAGGCTTTATTTAATCTCTCTGTGTTTCGTATGCTTATAAGATTAGTGGTTATTATGCTTTATCTGTTTAATATTTCTGTGTTTAGTTCAATTGCTCGATAAGTGTCCCTAATAAACTAGCAACATACCCCTAATAGGCACCTCATTAGGTACACCCAAAGTCTTTATAGGAAAGTCTGTTCACTTGGCATCCATCTTTTCAATGCCCCCAGGCAGTTATTTCCAGCCATACAAGACCAGGCTTTTATCGCTTTGTATGAGAAGACACAAAAATACGCAAAATTCAAGGACAAATTACCACTTAAAACATTTTTAAAATCACCTTTAAAATCTAACAAAAATCTCATCAATAGTTTGTAGCATTTGGCTCAATAATGCAAAAACATGACCTTTAGGTCGGGGGATCCCCACTAGCGCCACAACATCCTTGACCCTTCTCCACTCACGGCATAACTGGCAAGCCAATTTACAGCATCTCTGGTAAACCTTCTTGTATCTACGCTCATTCTCCCACCTTTCAAGCAGCTCCACTGACCATATAGTTTCACTCTGTAGTTCTACAGTTACAGACTGTAGTCCATCGGTTTCTCTGCATACTTGTTAACCTGTTCTTCAGTGGTCATAACCACCACAGGACCCCCACAGAGCAGATATTGTTTGGGTGGTGGGTCATTCTCAGCACTGCAGTAACACTGATGTGGTGGTGGTGTGTTAGTGTGTGTTGTGCTGGTACGAGTGGATCAGACACAGGAGTTTTAAACACTGTGTCCACTCACTGTCCACTCTATTAGACACTCCTACCTTGTCAGTCCACCTTGTAGATGTAAAGTCAGAGAAAATGGCTCATTTGCTGCTGCACAGTTTGTGTTGGTCATCCTCTAGTCCAAAAGACTGCAAATCTGGATCTTTAATCCGGTTTCTGGTCCTAGATTTTGTAGCCACTGGTAGTTAGTGGAACTCTTGATGTGTCTGGTTGGCCACCCAGTGTCATACTAAACACTTGGCTAACAAAACTAGTTTCAAGGTCTGGATTTGAAGACCTCTGCTCTAGTCCTTTATCAGTGGTCATAGGATGCTGTGGGCTGGATATTTTTGGTTTTGAAGAACAGAGTGAAAGGGGGCTAACAAAGTATGCAGAGAAACAGATGGACTACAGTCTGTAATTGTAGAACTACAAAATGGTCCTCAATTGTAAGCAGAGCTTGAAATGGATAATGAGTGTAGATACAAGGAGGAGTACTTAATGAAGTGGCTGGTCCAAACTGGGATAATGAAGGTTTCCTTAAGACCTTTTGTGCTCACTATGTGACTGGAACTCAGTTAGTTTATGTTTCTGAAGTGCAAGATAATGTGACTCATCCACAGATTGATTTCATTCGATCTCTTATTATTGTCACCCTGCTCAGATTTTAATTTCTGGTGGCATTAAAATCAACCCACAAACACCGTAGCAAATCTCTCCTTTTCTTTTTATTCTGTGCCGATTTCAAGCTATTAGCCAAGATGCTAGCACAACATTCCTCATATTAGTTATCTTGAGGGATTGAACTGGCTGTATTAGGGAATGCCTTTCCTTTATAAAATCCAATTTGTCTGACCTGTCTGAAATTATGGCTACCAGTTACTAAAAAATTCTGCAGTGAATTAATTTTGTTTTTTTATATTTGCTTAGTGCTACACATCCTAAATTTATGAGCTATTGTGGAGTACCTATCTAAAATACCATTTTAGTATCATCAATAATATCCTATAATGCCATATTGCTATAATGTGCATTCAGTAACCTGCTTTTTCTTGTGTTTTCATTCTGGAATTATTCTTTAAGCATGGTCATAATGGGTTCTGAGAGCTTTCCGCTTAAAAACATATAAAAATAAAATACTATATCTGTATATACACTACTGTGCAAATAAATAAACAAATAAATAAATAAATAAGCCAAGCCCTGAATGGCATAATATTAGGGCTTTAATAGTCTTAACAACAATTCATTAAACAAATTGATACAGTAAGTTAGTATGGGATATTTTTTCCTTTTGATTTCTGTAAGTGTTGAAGTCTTATGGGTGAAGAAGTGCAAACAGCTTTTTACAGACAAAAGAGTATTGATCCACTCAGCACTGACGACTTCAAACAGCTGAAAAACATTGACGAGCTAGTTTGAATTTAATGTGAGACCAAATATTCTCTATAGGCTTTAAATATGGACTCTGACCAGCCAAAACCATCAGTAAAAACATTATATTTTGGGTTTGGCCCTTTTTTGCACAGGAGTGTACATCACCATGATCTGCTTCTGGCAGTTCAAGGGTTTTCAGAATTCTCCTTATTGACAGCAAGAATGAAAATAAAAATTTCTTCCCCTCACATGAATGGCATATTCTTCATTTAAAACAGCAAATCTTGTTAAAAAGGCACAAGTTTGCACATACATTCATCAGTTATCAGGTGGTGAATGATAAGAGAGGGGCACTTTGTGGCGGTCAATTATTTTTTTTTTGTTTTTTAAACCGGGACGACTGCCCCTATTGCTCCACTCTGGATGCAGTGCAGCGGGTCAATCACATTGCTTTTGTGACTTTGTTTAACCCTCTTGCAACCTATGAGTTTAAAAAGTTGCAAGAGAGGGTGGACACCAAATGACTTCCATTTAAATATTAAATCCTGCAGTGCAGCTTACATGTAATAATAACACTATTCTGATTAAAGGAATGAATATATTTACATGTCTATGTATGTTATTGTCCATTGTTTATGCACTCACTTACATTTAAGGATTACCCACCTTTTTTAACCACTTCATCCTATTTAAAACATTCCTGGAACGGCTCCAACCTGTGGCATCATTTCTTAGAACATAACCAGGTTAATTTTTTTGACACTGCCTAACATCTGCATTCCTTTTTCCTGCATTGTTTGAAGTAATTTGTTTTTAGAATTTTGTTTCTCAGTTTGACATTTGGTTAATTTTTGATTTTTGTTCATTTTTTCCCCCGATGACAATAGAACCCACTTTTGTGCTGCAAAAACATACATACATACATACATACATACATATTTTTATTATTATTTTTTCTTTAACTTGTAAGCTGGAAGGTCTGCCAACAGCATAAAAGTTACTCTGTCGGTTTCCATCCATTTTAATAATTTGATAAGGTTTAGGTACAGAAACGTTTTTAATAGTTTCAGGCAGTGCTGCTGTGGTTAATCTTGAGAATTACCAGTAGGGCATTCATTACAGGCTCAGTGTGGTATTTTTAGAGTAGATTAACCTGTTTAAATTCTGTGCCTGAGATTTGAATCTGTGCCTCTTTGGCACAACTGGCAACATTCTTTGCTGAACAACATAGCCAGCTTCAAGTGAGAATCATGAGGAAAGACAACAGCAGCGAAAAGAAGAAAAAAAAAACAGGAAGTGGCATCGGCAAGAACAAAAAAAGAATTTATGTTTATATACCTCAGAGGTCTTCAAATCTGGACTTTGATTCAAGTTTCCAGTCCTGGATTTTGTAATCACTAGGACATCTTATACTAGGTGGCCAACCAGTTACAACAACTGTTTCGTTAACTACGAGTGACTACAAAATCTAGGACTGTAAACTGGGTTAAAAGTCAAGATTTGAAGATCTCTGATAAAGCTGATTTTACTGCAAAAATTATATGCATTAGATCAGTGCTTTCCAATTCAAGTCCTGGTGACCCTATGGTTTCCCTACTTTACACACCTGACTCAGCAAACAAGGTGCTTGTTAATTAGTTGAATCAGGTGAGCTTGATTAGACAAAGTACAAAAATGTGGACAGTGTTGGGTTATCAAGACTGGGATTGGGAACCCCTGTATTAGATGTTTAAATAAATATTTAGATTAGGGGTGTCCAGTCTTATCCACAAAGGGCTGGTATGGCTGCAGGTCTTCACTCAAAATGAGCTGGAGTTCACCTGATTCCCCTTGTTTAATCAGTTCCTCTCAGGCATCAAACATTTGATCATGTGATTTCCTGCTTTGTTGGAATGAAAACCTGCAGCCACATCGGCCCTTTGTGGATAAAATTGGACACCCCTGATTTAGACTATCTTTGTGTACCTTACCACAGGGCTGCCGAGTCCTGGTCCTGGAGATCTTGCACCCTGCAGAGTTTAGCTCCACCCCAAATCAAAGACACCTGATCCAGGTAATGAAGACCATCTGAATATTCAAGACAGATGGTCAGTTGGATCTGAACTCTTCAGGGTGGTGCACTCTTAAAAAAAGTTGGTCATTCAAGAGATCTTTAATAAAGACAATGGTTCTATATAGAACCACAAACACTTGAAGAGTCATTTGCATTGTGAAATGGTTCTTCAGATTAGTGGAGAATGTGTTCTTTGTTCTTCTTGTTGATTCAAGCTTCACATTGCAACAACAGCAGAACCCTTTTTGGTGCTTCATAGAACTGTATACAACACATTCCAGATCAGTCTCAAAAGACATTTGACCATGCAAAGAACCATTTAAGCTTTAAATGGTTCTATATAGAACTGTTCTCTTTACTTAAGAACATTGGTTCAAACCATCTTTTCTAATAGAGTAGATCTCCAGGACCTGGACTGGATGCTACTCCCTTCCCGGGTTAATTTTAACTGTTTTCGGACCTACACATGTACAGATCATGATCAGATGTTCAGATGGAACCACTGTCTATGAAACAAGCTCACATTGTATTTGATCAAAGGAAAGATCACCAGAGAATGTTTAATGTAGGAATGGATTTTTTTTTAAATGCTGTATAGAGTAACACTATCTATAAACATTTCATTATGTTTTAGGCACTGTGAATCTCCAGTGCTGATGAAGCTCTGCTGAGCTCTGCACGGTGATGTGCACCACTTCTCGACTGGCCTGTCAGCTGACTGCTCCAACGAACTACAAACCAATCCTGGCAGAGGGGGCGGGGCTTGTCGGAATCGAGGTGGAATTAAAAATGATTTCCCCAGCTCTGCCAGGCAGTCCAGCAGGTGGCGCTAAATCTGTAGCTGTGCTTCTCCAACCCCAGGAAAGAGGTGACGCAGAAGATCTGATAAGCAGTCCACGCAGTGTTGTTACAGAAGGACAAACGGGAGCTGCGTTACTGAATGTAGGTGTGTAACACTTCTGCACTTTCTACACATCATGTTTTTCAGAGACAGACTCAGAGGAGAGGTTGGGGAGGTGTTCATACTGGGAGTTCTCTCTTATACTGGAGATTCAGTGCAGACGTTAGCCAGATCCAGACATGCTGTCAAATGAGCTTTTGTGTGCTAACATGAAGAGGTGCTTACATGTGTGAGCGCGTGTCCTGCTCTGTTCCATGATTGAATGTGCAGATGGATAAGCAGTGAGTGCGTTTACATGCACTCAATAATCCAATCGTAATCGTATTTCTACAGGTATCTGATTATTCAAACGGTCATATAAACAGTATACTTAGATTTCTTATATCAGAGGAAGGTCTCGGATGACGAAATCCGATAATGAGAGCTGGATTGTAGCTCATTAATCATATTTCTCAGTGCATGCAAACTTTTACTCTGACTTCTTTCAGATTTCTCAGATTGCGCATGTGTGAAACAGACAGCGGTACCGGAAATAAGCAGCGTTGCAGCGATACGCAGCAAAACGCTTTTGGTGAGACGCTGAAACCCAATCAATTTTTGACGAAGGATTTAAATATTCTTCATCTTCTAGGTGATATAATAAAGCTAAAGTGGCGCATTTTAAAAAAAAAAACAAGGTGCAGCATGAAGTTTGAGTTATACATTATGTTTACGTCACGTCTTCTTCTCTGTGTTTATTGGCTGGTTGCAAAGCAGAAATCCAATTACCGTCTGACTCATGTAGACCCGGTGTTTCCCAATTATCTGATTACTCAAGCACATGTAAACACATCTGATTCTCTGCAGTTATCAGGTTATTAAGTGCATGTAAACGCACTCGGTGCGAAACATGCATGTAAAATGCACAGTCAGTGTAACAATGTCACGCTTCAATATGTTGTCTTCATTAAATAGTGTATAATATTTTGTGTTTTGCAAAAAAAATTAAATATTTCAGGAAATTTTTGCTTATACACTTATCTCTGCTAAAATTAAAATGCAAAATTTGCTTTTGAAAAGCGCAGCGCTAATGACTTTGACAGACCTTGCTGTGAAAACATAGCTGGGTCTTAGGAGGTTGTTGTATTATGTGGTTATGAAGGATCAGTCGACTATGTATCAGTATCTGGCGATTTTCATCCCAAATATGCAATCAACAATCGGCTGAAAATTCTCTAACTTAGACGATCCTGAGAGCTGATCAATGATGTAAAACAAATGAACCATCAAACGCAAGATTGAAATACTATTGGCTATGAATTGGTATCAATTGATTTTCATATCTTTTCACTTTTGACTATGGGACTAAAGGCCTGTTCACACTGAGTTTGATTTTTATGGACAAAAAACGCACTACAAGTTTTTAAAATTAACATGTATATTAATGCCATTTTTCACACCAAGTTGGAAACTGACACCGACACTGTGTAAGCCTGCGGTATTGTAGTCTTTAGTCTGTTCTAGTTGTATGGATTTATTAAAATCAAGCTAGCCAATCAGAGCGCCATTGTCATGGTTGCAGCCCATCAAACATGCATCAGGACGGCAGCAGAGCTCTTGCTTGTAGCAGAGCACAAAGCTTATATGACAAGCAGCACACTGACTAAAAAATGCGGAGATTAAAGACAGTATATGGTAGACAAGAGCTGAAGGGCTTTGAATGGCAGTGAGAGTGTTACAGCAACTGTATTTAAATGTTCGTTCCTTTTTCATGAACAGAGCAGCAGGCAGAAGCAGAGCCTCAAATTGAGGAAATACTGAGGATAATCTCTGCAGAATTGCTCGTTATACAGCTATAACTCTTGTAAGAGGTCGCGGGACTCCCAGTGTTAGTTAAAGTGCTTAAAAGATAAAAACTTTTCAGTGTGCTCAGACAGAAAAATGCTTTGCACTTGGTGTGAAAGTCCCGTGACATGACATTTGCATCCCTTATTTTTGTCTGAAAAAATGTGGTGTGAATAGGTCTTAACAGTCCATCCCGTTCTCAAACTGTATTGGCTATCAACCGATCGTGAAGAAAGGCGATCGGTATCGACCCCAAAAACACTGATTGGTCCATCTGTAGTGTTATGTTGCACTTTGCTTTGAATTTTGAATGTTGCTTTTTTCTTCTTTTTCCTCCTCTAGAAAGACCGTTGAAAGTCTTCTCTGGTTTCTACGTCCACTTACATAGATTAAATTTAACTCTCAGACACCAAGGGGCAAAATGTCACACACAGTGTAATTCAGAGATTAAAGCTGAGATAATGGAATCCACAGGAAGCTCCAGTTCCCAGCAAATATCCTCTGGTACTCTCCACATGCAGACAAATATGGGCAAAGAGAAAAAACACTGCTGCTCAGAGTGTGGGAAGAGTTTTTCAGGACAAAGTAATCTTAGAAAACACGAGCGCATTCACACAGGAGAGAAACCGTATCACTGCTCTGAGTGTGGGAGGAGTTTTACTCACCCGAGTAATCTCAAAGCCCACCAGCGCATTCACACTGGAGAAAAACCGTATCACTGCACAGAATGTGGGAAAAGTTTCAATCAACAGCGTAATCTCCTTCTACACCAGCGCATTCACACAGGAAAGAAGCCGTATCAGTGCTCAGAGTGTGGGAAGAGTTTTACTCATCACAGCAATCTCAAAGTACACCAGCGCATTCACACAGGAGAGAAACCGTATAACTGCTCAGAGTGTGGGAAGAGTTTTAATCAAAGGGTTAGTCTCCAGCTACACCAGAACATTCACACAGGAGAGAAACTCTATCACTGCACAGAATGTGGGAAAAGTTTCAATCAACAGCATAATCTCTTTCTACACCTGTGTATTCACACAGGAAAGAAGCCGTACCACTGCTCAGAGTGCGGGAAGAGTTTTACTCAGCGGAGTCACCTCCAAACCCACCAGCGCATTCACACAGGAGAGAGACCGTATCATTGTTCAACCTGTGCAAAGAGCTTTAGAGACAAAGATACTCTCAGAAAACATGAGCGCATTCACACAGGAGAGAAGCCATATCACTGCTCAGAGTGTGGGAAGAGTTTTACTCAACAGACTATTCTCCAAACGCACCAGCGCGTTCACACTGGAGAGAAACCCTATTACTGCTCAGAGTGTGGAAAGAGTTTTAATCGACTGTGTACTCTCAGGGATCACCAGTATATTCACACAGGAGAGAAACTGTACTCCTGCTCAGAGTGCGGGAAGTGTTTCAGTGAAAAGAGTGGTTTGATAGTACACCAGCGCATCCATACTGGAGAGAAGCCGTATCACTGCCCAGAGTGTGGGAAGAGTTTTGCAGACAGAAGTCATCTCACAAGACACCAGCGCATTCACACCGGAGAGAAGCCGTATGGTTGCTCAGAGTGTGGGAAAAGTTTTAGAGACAGCAGTCATCTCCAGAAACACTGGCGCATTCATACCGGAGAGAAGCCGTATCACTGCTCAGAGTGTGGCAAGAGTTTTAGAGACACAAGTCATCTCCAGAAACACCGGCGTATTCATACTGGAGAGAAGCCGTATCACTGCTCAGAGTGTGGAAGGAGCTTCAGACATTTGAACACTTTAAAGATACACAAGTGTATTAAGAGAGAGGTGAAAAATTCTTGACACCTGACACCTTTTATTTTTGTATGTTTATTTCTTTGTCATTTATGATCCAAGCATGTAATGTACTGTCCTCTTACAGTCTGAGCAGGAATTTCTGTACCTCATTCTTCTTTTCAATGACCAAAAAAAGTTGTCTGTGAACGTCTGTCAATCTCTTTGCTTCTTTGGTCTAAAACGTCTAGAGATAAAGGGAAGGATTCGTGAAACTCGGTGGTAATTGTGCTGCACCATGCGAAATGTCCTATTCATAAAGTCACCTTAACAGTGATCAGCACGCCAGTCTCTCTTTTTCCACTGTGGTACTTTTTGTGTTTTCTAGGCAGCAGCCAATAAAAATGGAACAAGTTAATGACCCGATTAATTACGACCCGGTTAATGACGAAAGCACTTGTTTGGGTGCCAAAATCGCCATGCTACAACTACTATGACCCCGTTTACACCTGGTCACTCCATGTGACTAGTATTTGAATCATATCCTGATAAGATTGTGTGGCCTTGCATGTGGCTACTTGGGCCTTGTTCAGACTGCCAGCCCAAATCCAGTTTTTGGCATATCTAAATTGTATCCAGATTAATTTTTGATCATCTGGACAGCAAAAAAACCACATGAAATCTGATTTTTGCAAATGGAATACAAACCACATTTGGAGGTGGTTTGAAATGTAAATCCAATCATTGTTACAGATGCATCTTGGTCTGGCCACTCTGGCCGCTGAAAATTGGATTATCTTTTGTGTCACTCACGTGACAAACGTTAACAATGTCAAATCCAGAGTGACTGAGATTCAAGGTTTGAGTGATCATATTTGTATCTGTTTTAAATGCATCTTGGCTGCATTTACATTTGCATTTTTATGTGGCCTCATCCAGATATAATCCTGATATTCAAAATGCATGAAGTGACCAGGTGTAAACAGGTTCTAACAGTTTGCCAATAATTCAGGACAAGTTTTGGCAGTCTTGTCATTGTCACCCTGCTTAGATTTGAATTTCTGGTGACATCAACCCACAAACACTGTAACAAATTTCGCCTCTTCTTTTTACTCCATGCGCATTTCAAGCTGTTAGCCGAGATGCTAACACAACAGCCAGAGCCTGCCCTCACATCAGTTATCTTGAGGGATTGAATTATGCATTAAGGAATGCCTTTACTTTGGTGATCCACATTGACTGACCTGCCTGAAATTTGGCTACAAGCTACTAAAAATATCTGCAGTGAATTTCATATTTGTTTAGTAGTACAGATTCTAAGCTTCTGTGCTTTTGTAGAGTACGTACCTGAAATAACCTTTTAATAATGTCAGTAATATTTTATGATTTCATATTGCTGTAATGTGTGAAGTAACCTTTTTTTCACCTGTGTTTCCTTTCTGGGATTATTCTTTAGGTGTGGTCATAATGGGTCCTGAAACCTTTTAGCTTAAAAAAATAATTCAACTCAAAAACATTAAATATTATATGTGTACAAGGACCAAAATAAAAATGTATTCTAGTCTCACAAATGGCTTATTCTTTATTTAAAACAGCAGATTTTGCCAAAAAGGGAAGAGTTTGCATGCACGTTCATCAGTGTTGTGCTCTGAGGTGGTGAAATATAGGAGAGGGGCACTTGGGGGCAATCAATTTATTTGTTCATTATTTGTATTTATTTATTTAGTTTTATTGGGGCTACTGCCCCTATGGCTACCCCCGGATCCGTACCTGGGTGCAGTCTGGCTGGTAAAACAGAATGTTTCTGTGACTTTGTTTAACTCTCTCACAACCTGTAAGTTAATATGACTTTCATTTAATAATAATAACATTATTCTAAATAAAGAACACATGCTTAGTTTATGTATGTTATTGTCCATTGTTTGGGCACTCACGTTTAAGGGTTACCTACCTTTTAACAACTGCATCCCTGTTTGAAACATGCCTCTAACACTGACTCTGCTTCTGTATTGCTTTCTCCTGCATTGCATGAAGCACATGGCCTTTTTTTATTTAAAAAATTGCTTCTAACTTTTTAGATAATTTTTGTCTTTTTCCCCCAGTGACATTACATCCCACATTTATTCTGTATAGTTTGTGCTTGATGTCATGATAGATGTCACATAAAATGTAATTTTTTAAAAAATTTAAATTAAATTGAAAAACTGCATCGAAGTTACTCTCGATGTGATATTTTTAAAGTGGATTAACCTGTTTAAATTCTGTGCCTGCAGTATGAATCTATGCCTGGTTGGCACAACTGGCAACTTTCTTTGTTGAACGACACAGTCAGCTTCTTATGAGATTCATGAGGACAGACAAAAACCATGAAAATGGAAAAACTAAGTGGCACAGGCAAGAACCAAAAAAAAATTATATTTATACAATTAATTTTCTTGCCAGAATAATGTATTATATGTCCAAATATTCAGACTGTCTTTGTAAACCTTACCACAGGGCTGCCCAGTCCTGGTCCTGGAGATCTTCCACCCTGCAAAGTTTAGCTCCACACATAATCCAAGTAATGAAGACCATCTGAATATTAGAGACAGGCGTGTTGGATCTGAACTCTTCAGGGTGGTAGATCTCCAGGACTCTGGCCTTACCAGGTCAGTTCTGTTTATAGGCATCTAGACATCTACAGATCATGATCAGACGTTTAGATGGAACCGCTGTCTCTCTAACATGCTCACAGTGTACTTGATCAAATGAAAGATCACTAGAGAAGGTTTAAAGGCACAACAACCACCAGGAACCTGAAGTGGGACAGCAACATCAGCTCAATCGTCAAGAGAGCCCAGCAGAGGATGTACTTCCTGCGTCAGCTGAGGAAGTTCAACCTGCCCCAGGAGCTGACGGTGTGGTGCTACACAGCCTTCATAGAGTCCGTCATCACCACATCCTTCACAGTGTGGGGCAGCTCAGCCACCAAGCATGACCTCCACAGACTGCAGCACATCATCAGGTCTGCAGAGAGGAGAATTGGGGTTAAGTTACCCACATTGCTGGAACTGCATGACTTCAGAACCAAAGAGCATGCAGAGAAAATCTTTGCTGACTCGTCCCACCCCTGACACCACCTGTTCCAGCTCCTTCCCTCAGGCTGGAGCTTCAGCCAGATGAGGATTGGGACATCCAGACTACAGGGGAGCTTCTTCCCACAAGCCATCACTCTCTTGAACCATTAAAATATTACCCATAAACAATATTCCAGCTGCACTTCTTAAATGTATTGGTCTATAGTATATTTAAGCAATAGAACATGAGTGGGAGTGTGTTATCATGAAATAACATCAGAACCTCGAGTGTTTTATTGCTTTTATACAACAGTTAAATAAATAAAGTAATAAATTAATAAACTGGGCCGTGAACGCGGCGTTTCATATGTTTCAATGTTTGCAGTTTCTTCCGCCAAATTATAGTTCCTTAACAATCAGCTTGTTGCTACATCAGAGTAACGAACTCTGCCCACTCACTGCACAGTCTGCTGTAAGCCTCGCCTTTTGAAGTACGGACTGAGCCATAAAACTGCCACAATATCAAGTTCAGCTCAGTTTTGTCAATTTTTGCCAGATCAGTATTAATGTTATTTTGTTCCAGCCAGTCTGTAAAGCATCTTACAGCCCATTTAGTTTGGCGAATGGTATTGGGTTCATTTCTGGCTGATTCCAGGTTGTTTAGCTGTTCTTCTGTCACAGCTGCCGACTGAAAAGCTGCTCAGTGGTGATGACAGTTTGGGAATTTAGTGTTGTCTCATCTTCAGAGTCTGACCAAATTGGCTGTCGGTCAAATGTGATCTTAAAATTGTCCATTTTCTGTTTGTGGCAAAGTAAGAAGTAAAAACGTTCAAATGGCTTGAGCGTCTCCTACAACTGTCAACGTCGTCTCAGCAGAGTGATACAGTGTTTGTGAAAAAGACATGATGTTATGGTGAAATAACAGCAGGGTTAGAACGCTTCTCAACCAATCAGCTTGCATGGCCGGAACGAACTGTTGTATAAACTGCTGTGTAACACTCAACATTCCATCCTCTGTATCTACCATCTCACACCAGTGTTTCTTCTTCTAGCACCTCACTTACCTGCCTTATTACCCCACTTATCTGACTGTTACCTCACTTACCTGCCTTATTATCCCTCTTATCTGACTGTTACCTCACTTACCTGCCTTATTACCCCACTTATCTGACTGTTACCTCACTTACCTGCCTTATTACCCCACTTATCTGACTGTTACCTCACTGATCACTTTTTTGTCACTGTACATCTTTTAACTGCTGCTGCACTCAGTACTTTAACTTAAGACACATACTTTACAAGGTTTACAGGTGTGACTGTGTGTGTGATGGTCTGAGTGTGCGGGAGGAATGCACATTCTATTCTATTTTATTCTTGTTTTGTATTTTTGTTATTTTTATTTACCTTTAATTTATTTTATCTACTACTGTAAAATGTTTGTCTGATACTGTGCACTGTGAGCCCCTGTAACCAAAACCAAATTCCTTGTATGTGTAAGCACACCTGGCCAATAGCTTGATTCTGACTCTGATGTAGGGATTTTTAAATGCAGTATAATATACTGTATATTACTGTATATTTCCTTATGTTTTAAGCACTGTGGGTCTCCAGTGCTGATGAAGTTCTGCTGCCACTTCTCTACTGTCCTGTCAGCTGACTGCTCGAACTACCAACCAATCCTGGCAGAGGGGGCGGGGCTTGTCGGAATCGAGGTGGAATTAAAAATAACTTGCCCAGCTCCGTCAGGCTCCAGGGTCACGTGGTTGCAGTGTGAAGCCCCTGCAGTTCAGCAGGTGGCGCTAATTCTGTAACTGCGCCTCTCTTGCCCCAGTAAAGAGGTGACGCAGAGGATCTGACCAGCAGTCCACGCAGTGTTGTTATAGAGGGACAAACGGGAGCTGCGTTACTGAATGTAGGTGTGTAACACTTCTGCACTTTCTACACATCACGTTTTTCAGAGACAGACTCAGAGGAGAGGTTGGGGAGGTGTTCATACTGGGAGTTCTCTCTTATACTGGAGATTCAGTGCAGACGTTAGCCAGATCCAGACATGCTGTCACATGAGCTTTTGTGTGCTAACATGAAGAAATGCTTACATGTGTGTGTGCGTGTCCTGCTCTGTTCCAGTATCGGTTTTTGTAAACATTAACCATGAAAACTAACACCGTATTGAATGTGCAGATAGATAAGCAGTGCGAAACATGCATGAAAAATGTGCAGTTAGTATAAATGTTCCATGTTTATATCACTTAATGTGGTTTTGAAGTATTTTAATATTTCAAGACTTATATTGCCTTGATTGAATAATAAGTAATATTTAAATAAAATACATAAATAAATAATCTTTTCATAAAAATAATAATAATTTAATACACACACACACACACACACATATATATATAGAGCGAGAGAGAGCTGCTGTTAGAACAAAAGCTCGTGTCTCTAAGGAGGAAGGAAAAATATTCTTAACTTTGAATGGACATTAATGAAACGATTTTTTTCAAGTAATTTTGGAGTCTTTTTATTTGTCAGTTGATCATGAAATTTTGCCATGTTGTAAAGGTAACTAACTGATGTTCTTCTCTCACGGAGATCATAGCAACACTTTGACAAATGATTGTCATTAAATCGTTTGTTGCTACATCCACAAATGCAAGTTAAGACTGTACTATGCACAATGGAAATGATATGTCAAAAATGTCCAAAAACGCCACCGACTTCTCTGGGCCTGAGCTTATCTGAAATGGACAGATTCATAGTGGAAATGTGCATTGTAGTTTGACAAGTAAACATTTTGGATTGTTTATGGATGTAATGGGTATTACTTTGTCCAGGTGAAAGAAGTAAAAGTACCATGCAAATTGTTATCAGTGTAAAGTTCAAAAGCACCATTAACACTAAAGAATGGAAAAAATTCTGATTTCAAACCTTTATTAGTTTGCTTCTTCAGTCCCCCAATGATTACAAGTGTTGTTAAAAGGACAGGGATGTAACACAATGATAAACATCTCACAACATTTTGGAATGTGTTGCAGGTATTTGGAATGAGCATATATTTACAAAAAAAAAAAGTTCATAAGGTAAAAAATCAAATGTAGTTTCTTTCTACTGTCTAACAATTGTCATAATTATGTACATTCCTTAACAGTTTTGTAGTATCGTCATAAGACCCCAGTTCCTTGTACACATCATATTAGTGTTTAGTGTCTGGAACATTAAATATTTAGTTATGGCAGTGGCATGCCCGCTGTTCTGTCATGGTGATAGCTGCAGCCCTTGTTAGAACAAACAAGAAATGTTCCACACTTTCCTCATATAATCTGTTGTGGGGTTCATTAAAAAATTAATTGCCATCAGAAAAAGGTAGTCAAGTAGGTGCTCGCCAAACATTTGTGCTCAGGGACCTTTGACTTGATGATTCGGATCTGTTCAGAATGAGTCATTGATTTTAAAATGCTACAAGAAAATATACAACCCTATTTCCAAAAAAATTGGGACACTGTGCAGAATGTAAATAAAAATAGAATGCGATGATATGCAAATCGTGTAAACCATATTTTTTAAGGAAAATGCTACAAAGACAACATATCAGATGTTGAAACTGAGAAATTTTATTGTTTTTTAAAATATTTATGCCCATTTTGAATTTGATGCCAACAACACGTTCCAAAAAGTTGGGACGGGGGCATGTTTACCACTGTGTTTCATCACCTCTTCTTTAACAACACTCTGTAAGCGTTTGGGAACTGAGGAGACCAATTGCTGTAGTTTTGAAAGTGAAATGTTTTTCCATTCTTGTTTGATATAGGATTCCAGCTGCTCAACAGTTCAGGGTCTCCTTTGTCG